CAAATAATAGAACAAACGGCCCTAGGATTCTGCAAATATTCTCTTGCTCCAGGCAAAGACTGTGTCTAATTCATCTTGGTGTCTCAGAGCCCGTCTGAGCTGCTGAGGCTCACCGAAGGTTTGTCTGCACTGAACTAAACCAGTAAACCCTGGCAGAGCCCACTGGTTTCATGGCTTATCTGACCGAAGGACACATGCAAATTAGACCTCAGCTTCCGTGTGCTTCTCCCCGCTACCCTCCTGGTTAAGCAGGCCAGCCGAGACCCTGCTGGTTGCCAAGGGTCATCTAAACACAGGGATTTTCCCAATCGCTTTGAAAATGTATTGATAACTGAAGCCACTTACAGAACCAATAGGCCCTGGAGCCAGTTCCCCTGGGCATTTATACTTCTGAGTGACAACTTAGGGAGGAGTGTCAGGTGCATATAGGGAAGAAAAAATGAATACACAGCCCCCTCCCCCTGCCCCAACCATGCAATTAGGAAGCAGGACACATGCCTCTTCGGTGCTGTGACCTGTACCAGTTCTCTCAACCCAGGCCCTAATTAGGATCGACAGCTGTTCTCCACCCAGAGACTGGAAGAAAGCCTGGAATGATCTTAGTTGAGAAGTCTCCAGCCTCGAGAACCATCAGAACTGCCGCACGGATGAGCAGAAAATAGCAGATGATAAATTTTTTAGGACCCCCCTCTGTGTGCCAGTTGTAGCAGACTGTGAGATAATGTGCTGGCCTTTTTTGGAACATGCATTATTGATCTGGGTCTGTCTAGTGGTTTATAAAAAGCCCACAATCCCTCTCTGCCCCCTACTACTACCTTCCCATCTCTCACCTCCTGAAAAAAGGCTATGCCTCCTTCAAAAGCCAGTTTGCTGTTAGAGGGGCTTGCAGAAGGGGAGGCTTGCAGACAAGACCCCTGCAAGCCAGTGCAGTGGGGCAAGCTGACAGCTATCATAGAACAGGAGCACTCTAAACCCATCGCATCTACTTCCTGGAATTTATCTCTTAGAAACTTGCTCACATGTGCAAAGATACATGTATAATGACATTCCCGGCAGCAGCGCTTTACAGCAAAAGCTAACACAAGTGGTAGCAATCTAGAAACACTCAACAGCCATCCCAGGAGACTGGTTAAGTGGAGCGGTGATGAAGCCCGTGGGCTTTGGGTTTAAATCTTGTTCAGCCGCATCCTAGCTGTGTGACTTTGCACAAGTAACTTTACTTCCCTGTGCCTCAGCTCTGCATCTGTAAAATGAGATGAATGAATCTTTGTCCTTTAAGGTAGCCATGGTTTGCTCTGCTTTCCTCTCTCCTGTGTCCTTATCACACCCATAGCTCCTTTCTTTCTATCTGCATGGTCTATTGGTTTTATTCGAGTTTCACGGATGCAAACATACAATCAGATTCTGACATGATGCTTAGTGGGATCACGCTGCAGCAAAAACGTGTTGTTCCTAACGTAGGTGCTTAATCGTTCACCTTGGTTCCTGATACCCTCAGTCCTCCTCTTTTCCTTAACCCCCATGCCCAATCCATGTGCACCTCCCGCCCTGGCCCAAGCTTCCATCATTACCTGCCCAGTTACTGCACTGGCCTCCTGGGTCTCCCTGTCTCTGCTCCTACTCTCTGCAATCTAGTTTTCACAGAGCAGCCAGAAGGATCCTGTTGGAACCTAAGTCAGATCACGGCCCTCCCCCGCTGAAGGCCCCTGGACCCATGTCCCTTTCACTAAGAATAAAACTCAAAACCATCACTGTGGTCACAGGTCATAAGGCCACATGACCTGGCACCAGCTGACCCCTGGCCTCATCTCTCTGCACTTACACGCTGGCTCCCTCCAGCCCAGCTCACAGGCCTTCTCTCTGTCCTGACTCACCAAGCTCATTTCTAACTCAGTGTCTTTGTGTCTCCTGTTCTCTCCACCTGAAATGATACTTCCACGGGCCTTGAGCTCCCAGCACAGTGCGCTGCACGGAATAGATGCCTAGTAAATATCTGAATTGCACGAAAGAAAATGCGCAGGGAGACTTGAATTCCTAGGCACAACTATAATCAAGGCTTGAGGGGGAGCCCCACAAGGTAACACCACGGCACTCTGAGATCCAGGTGCTGCAAATGCGCTCTGCAAAATGCAGAAACAAAACTCCCGCCCCTATGGCCATGGTTTGTAGCCTCCCCATGGTTATCGAATGCAGCTCATGCTAAATGCTGCTGGGGAGATAGGTATCATGTATGTCAGATTGTCAATAAAAGCTCTGGGCTTTGATTGCTTCCTGGCTGCAAATTCTTTTTGCACCAATAAGCTCCTGGAGAAAAATCTATTCCTGTGATCATTAATACAAATACCAGTGACTTGGACATATATAAATCATCTTTCCTTGGCAGTTAAGACTGATTCATGTTTTTAATAATGGATCCAAAAAGAGTGTAGATTTATAGCTGGACCTTCACCACAATCTTACATTTGGTTGCAAAGGCTTACCCAGGAAACCTGTACATTTGTTGCCACCAACAATATTCAGTTGTCCTTTGACAATGGATACAGGCTAAAGGCCCACCCTGACTCGATCAATTAGTGGCACTCCCACCTGCTGCCCATGAGAGCCTCCAAGATCTGGCTCCACCCTCTCTCTCACCAGTCTTAGGTTCTATGCTCCTTCGCAGGCTCCAGCCGAATCTCTCTCCTGGGTCCTGCCTCAGGGCCCTGCACATGCTGTTCCCTCTGCTTGAAAGGCTTTTCCCAGCTCTTCAGAAAACACAGTAGTACTGATGATAAGGGAAATCTAATCTATAGAAGGAAAATGCACAATGCTTGTGTTGTGTCCAAAACAGAAGCCAGATGTGACTACTGAGTACTTGAAAGGTGGCTAGTCCTGTTCACAATGTGCTCTAAGTGTAAAGTACTTGCCAACTTTCAAAATCAATATAAAAAATGTAAACTATCTCACTAATGATTTTTTTTTTTTGAGAGGGCATCTCTCATATTTATCGATCAAATGGTTGTTAACAACAATAAAATTCAGTATAGGGGGGTCAATGCTCAATGTACAATCATTAATCCATCTCAAGCCTAATTCTCGTCAGTCTCCAATCTTCTGAAGCATAACGAACAAGTTCTTACAT